GGGCGGCCCGCCCGCCCGCGCCTACGGCCGGCGCCGCCCCGCGCCGCTGAGCCCCCGCGCCCGCCCGCCCGCCATGAACTGCCCGCAGTGGCCCCCGGACAGCCCGGCGGGCGGCGGCTACGCCATCGAGGGGCTCCCGCCGCTGCCCAAGGGCCTGAGCGGCATCCTCAACTCCAGCGGCGGCTCCTGGCGCGAGATCGAGCGCGTGCACAGCACCAAGGCGCGCATCCAGGACGACCTGAGCAAGGCGCAGGCCGCCGCCGCCGCCGAGAAGCGGCCGCCGCGGAGCAGGCCGGCCAACCTGGACGCGGCGCTGGCCACGCTGCGCAAGGAGATGGTGAGCGCCGCGCCGCGCCGGGGGCTCGCGAGGGGGCCGCGCAGGGGCGCTGCTGCTCCCGCGCCCGGCGCGCACGGGCCGCCCGCCCTGCCCCCTGGGCCCCTTTGGCTCCGGCTGGCCCCGTGGGGGCTTCCCTTGGCGGGGCTGGCGCGGCGAGTGGGTGCCGTCCCCCGCGGGGCGCGAAGGCGCCCTCCCTCCGTCGCCTTGCCCCCGCCGCGCACGGGAGCGCGACCAAAACCTGGCTGCTCAGAGGCCCCGGAGCAGCACACCGGGACTGCGCTCCCTCCCCCTGAATCCTGAATCGGCACCGCGCGCTGCCTTGCCTCGAGGCAGAGCCGTCTCCGCCCGGTGTCCCTGACGAGGCCGGCAGCGGCTGTTTCCAGGGTTTTAGGCACGGGTCCTTCCTCGCCATGCCCGGGAATGCCGTGGGCAGCCAGGGAACCTGGCCGTGCGAAGTCCTCCCTCCCTCCCTCTTTAAGTCTCACAACAATCCTGTGAGGTAGGTCCAGCTGAGAGAGAGAGAGAGAGAGAGAGAGAGAGAGAGAGAGAGAGAGAGAGAGAGAGAGCGATCGATCCTGGGTCAAGAGCAACCGGTAAGCCTCATGTCTTGAGTAGTGGATCTGAACCTAGTCCCCCTCTGGCGAGAGCGTTGATTCCCTTTTGTCGTGTTTCTATGCTTAAGAAGGGTGTGCTCTCTTCCCTGGGCAATTTGCAGTTGGACTCAGGTGAGTCAGCAGATGCAAGATCCTCTAAGGATCTTAATGAAAGACTCCAGGGTAGCGGCAGTCCTTTCTCCAAAGGACAACACAACGCCGCGCCTTGGGTTACAGGTATCCACAGTTCCAGCCCTCATAAACTTGTTCTCGGGGCAGAATTTAGCATCCTCATAATTTTGTTTAACAGCGTCACAAGTTTCTAGTCCTCAGGGGTGAAGAGTGGCTTTGACATTATGTGTGGCAGTAGCTGGTTTCTCAGATTCAGGAAGCAGCGCTTCGCTGTTCTGTGTGTCTCTTCGTTCCTCTTGGTAGGTAACGGAATTGTGCATGAGAACAAACAGGTGTATCCATATAGGGGGGACCTGAGAACACATGGTACCTCCATTGGGATAAATGTCACTACCTTTTAAAACTTCTTGTTGTAAGTGCAGCATTTCGTGCTATCCCTCCAATGCGAAATAACAGAAGTCGTAAGCAAGAAGACTTTTTTTTTTTAAGAGTTGTGCCCCGGTGTGTCATTTTGGAGGAATGAAGAGTTGGAGAGGGCTTGATCGTAGGCAGCGGAGGCAGAACTTGAAGCCCAGTGACCAAAGCAGCTCCTCCAGGCGTCCCCAAAGGACCAGGGCCCCTTTCTCTGGCTCTGCCCCTTCTCCCTGCATCCTGTGCCACTGGTATTTTCTAGTGTTTTTGAAGCCCCCCCCCCATTTTAAAAAGTTGGATAGTTTTGCTCTCGGCAACCAGCTAAAAGTGGCCTGTTCCTGCCACTGGAGGATCATGTGTCTCAAAGCGGGTCTGAAATGGACTTTGGCCCTCGGGCCGAAAGCAGTGCTCTGTCCGTGTTGTAACCCCCCCCCCCCCGCCCTGATCCACCTCCTAGTTACAGTGACGTGTTCCAGTGCAGGGATAAGTAGCCGCTTTCAGTCTGAGGGCCGAATTCAACCTTGGGGGGTCTCCAGGGGCTGCAAATTTGGTGGGTGGAGCCCAGAGCAGGAGGAGTGCAGCCAAAAGACCCTCCTCTTGTAGCCATGGGGGGCATTTCGGCTTTTTGGATGCTGAAAAGCCGAGCAACCACCAAAACATCGGTGGATGGGGGGAAGGGGCAGGATTTGGTCCCCGGAAGGGTCAGATTCGTGCTTTCACGCATTTTTCTAGGGCAGCTCAGATCTGCAGCCTGCCCTGGCTGATGCTGTAGAGGACAGGGAAATGCACAACACGGTGCTGGACCCGGAATTCTGTACCTTTTTAGCTTTTGCAGGCTGCAACGGGCAACCTGAGCGCGTGTGTTTGCAGGAACAGACAGGTGTCAGGTTGAATAAGTTTTCCCATGGTTGTGAGGTTCTGTGTGTAGTTGCTCAGCAAACCCAGTGTCAGCACGCAACAAACATTCCCCACTTTCCATCGAAGTTTACTGCCAGAACCTTCAAAAAGACGCACTTATTCTGAAATAAATTTGCCTTGCTGCTTTCTCTGTAGAAGCTTGCTGCCAGAGTTGCCCTCTGAACCACTCAGCAAGCTGTGACCCATTCATAAGACCTGAGCTTTGCATGGGGGCCCGGGGCCAGGGGGGGCCGCTAACAAGAGCTTTCTCAGCTTCCAAACATGTGCAGAGTGTTTCTCCAGCAGGGGGCAGCAGCGACACACGCAGGCCTTGCCAAGCAGGACACCACTCCAGCAAACCCATTTCAAGCTTACCCTTTTATTTCACAGCCTCTTTTTGTGAGGACTAGTAACTTTGTTTGGTGGGTTGAGCTTGTGTGAGGCGGGGCCTCTTATCAGATGTATTCACCACCCTCAATCAGACTCGATTCCAGGGTGGTCCACAGCAGTATGAAAAACTCAGCACAAAGCGAGGCGGGGACCCTTTCAAAGCAAAGCTGTGATTCTAACGCCAAACAAATCTGCTGCATTAAAAAGGGACCGAAAGAATAGCCTTTCGAATGGACGTGTTTTTAAACAAGTGGGTGTTGCAACACATGGGGACCCGGGAAGCTGCGTTAACGCTGAGGTGGATTCTTCATGCTTACTGCACAGCAAACCTACTCTGCCAAAGCTCATCACACCCCTTCTCTTGCCCCGTCCTACAACGGACAGGTCCTTCTGCGGCACATTTGAAATTCCAGTGTGCACAGGACAATGTGGAAAGAGCTAGAAACTCCACGCTGAAATGTCCAGGAGATTTCAGACAGGCATGCCACAGCCCTCCCTGGGCCACTGGCGTGCAAAGTAAGGCCCTTCCTCTAAGCTTCCAGTCTTCATGATGCTGAATAAAGGGCTGACTTGAATTAGAACACAGGCCCCGAGATGCAGGCCCTCCCTAAATGCACAACTTGGGAACGTCACCCCCCGCAGCTGCACGTGGGGCTTCGTCAAGGTCTCGGCACCGTTTGCTGGGGGGGGTGTAGTTTTGCATGGGGGCCGCCCCAGGGGCCAGGCCCTGCCTGCGGCTGAGGCTCCGCTCTTCTCGTTCCAGGTGGGGCTGCGTCAGCTGGACATGTCCCTCTTGTGCCAGCTCTGGTCCCTGTACGAGTCCATCCAAGAGTACAAAGGCCTCTTTCAGGACATGTCGTCCTCGCTGCACTCGGAAGGCAGCCCGGCTGCCGAGAACGGCTTCTCAGACGAGGAGGAGGACTTCGAGGTGGACCAGGCGAGCCCCGAGGGGCGCAAGGAGCCCCCCCTGGGCCAGCAGCTCGGCCTGCTGCAGCCGCAGAACTCCCGGGACCAGTGGCTGCAGGATTCCTTCCACATCACCATCTGAGCCTCTCCGGCCGCGCCGTTGCCTTCCTCTTCCCCGCGGCGTCGGGGGGAACTCCGCCTGCACCTTTGCGAGGGTTGCACTTGCTTTCGGGGAGCGCGTTTGCGGGGGGAATTGAGGTGCCTTCCCAGCAGAGTCGACGGCTCATTTCACAATGCTGGAATGACCCCTGGGATCCCTGGTCGCTGTAGCCGCAGACAACCCTGGTCGTCCTTCCTGGGGGCAGGCAAACTCTGGGGGCTGTCTGCAAGCAAAGACTCTCTTCTGGTCCCACCACAATATGGCTGCTTGGGTTGTCCACACGGGCCGCGAAGGAGAAGCTGCGCAATGAGAGCCCTGCGTGAAAAACTCGGGCGGTAGTGTGCAAGCGCACAGTCCACGCTGCAGAACCCCAGCCGGCTTCAGGAAAACAAAACCCATGCTAAAAAACGGCAGGAAGGCAGCTCGGAGGTGCCTGGGTCCCCCCCGCCTGCCCTTCGTGTAGGAGTCGTATCGGGGCATTTCGGGAGGAGGGCGATCCTGGATTCTGTCCAGAAAACACGGAATTTCGCAGGAGGCGCGCATGATACACCTAGAACCCGCCTTGCTTTCCCACCGCCTCTTCTGCTCCCTCCCGCCTTTTAAACTACAAAATAGCTGCTCCACAGCACAGGCAGAGCGGGGTGCGGAATAGCCGCCCAGCGCAATGGCTCGCTGTAGGAGGCACCCGCCCCGTGGATGCTGCCGAAAAGGCAGGCTTAAAACTCTGGCAGGTGGGCCAGGTGAGCAGTGCGGGGGGGAAGGGGGTCGCTGCAGAGGCGCTTCGTAATCGAGGGCAAGCTGGCCACTCGACCTCTGATGCTTTTGCCACCTCCCTGCTTTAGTCGCCTCCATTCTCGCTCGGACTTGCCCCCCCTTCTCGGAAGAAGAAGCGGGTCTGATCTTCCCTGGAGTCGTGCTAGCGTGTGAAGCAGGCAGGCAGTCGCAGGTTCACGTGTCTCCGTTTCTGGTCGCTAGAGACGCCTGCTGAGACTCGGGGAGGCTGATGCCCGTCTCTGCGGACTGGGGGTGCACACCCTTTCGGGCTCTGCCAGGGGCACACAGCGCCCTCCTCTCCCGGTAGAAACAGCCCCTGCCCCTTGGCACGGCATCGAAGCGCTGAAGCCCCCATGCCGGACTCCCCCACCCAGTCTGCCCCTCCCCGGAAGGAAAACCAGTCTCAGAATGTGGGTCTTGGTTCTTGCTGTCGATACCTCATTCCTAGCATAGTCCCTGGGAGTCTTCAAGCAAGCCGAGAACTAGAGACCCTGTTTCTTGAGGGCGCAAGGTGGATCTGCAGAGGGCTTGGGCTTCAACTGCCAGGGTTCCTGACCTTTGGCGTGCTGGCAGAGGCTTCTGGGAAATGAAGTCCAAACCATCTGGAGCGCTACCCTTGTAGTTCTCCATCTGAGTATTAGACAGATTCCCAGAGGTTGTTTTAGGCTGATGGGGGCCGGAGCTGCCAGGCGCCTCATTTGGCGCCCCCAATTTCTGGGGCTTCCTCTACCCCCCTGTTCTGCCCTGCAGGGGCCACGGGGGCCGGGAAGATCTGCACCCGCCAGATGAGCCAGCTGCTTGAACATGTCTGCTTGAGCCATTCTTCTGAAGTCAAACACTGCCTTCTGTCCACGAGTCTGCTCTTCCATGTAGGTAGACATGATCCTTAAAAATAGGCAGACGTGCACGGAGAGTTTAGAGCGTGTCCACTTTAACGTCTGGCAAATAAGTGTGTTTCCTTTTGGCCCATGTGCTGGAGCCCGACACCTTTTCCGTCGCTTGCACAGTCCCTGCAGCATCCTCGGCCTCCGTTCCCCTCCTTGCCCTCCATCTCACGCTGGAAGCATCCAGGGATGGTGTAGCCGGAAGAGGCTTCCCCTGCACGCGAAGCCGCTTGCTCGCTAGACTGTTCTAGGCAGAGGTGCCTTGGCTGGATTTCTTAGCAGTGCCTCAGCCATACAACCCACAAAGAGCCTCTTTAACGTAGTTCGTTGCGTATGATCCTTTCATTTTGGAAGCACTGAAATGCAGGGGTTTTGTTTTCCTGGGGTGGGTGCGTGTGGAAATTCCTGCTTTTCGTTCTCTCCTTTTGGTAACTAGACAGCTAATTAATATATTGTTGGCAGGAGTGGGGCATTTTGCAACTGGGTCCTCTGTAACAGCTGCACAAATTCTGAGAATAAACGTCTCAGCCTAATAAAAGGGGAGTGTGGAGCGTGCCTCATTCGGAGCGGCGGCAAAAATGATGTTTTGAAAGAGAGATGGAGAAAGAAAGGCCTACCAGATGTTGGACCACAGGCCGACGCTGAATATTTATAAACCAGGAGTTATTGGGGTTGGTGTGGCATCTGGAAACATCTCTTGCTTTTCACTGGCTTCCTAGCTGTTTTTCCTCCTTCCTTCCTTCTTCCTTTTTAACCAGGATGTGTGATGTCTCCAGCTAAGGGGCGGAGGTGATGCTTGGATTTGGGAGGGGTTGGAAAGACCTCCTTTGCTGACTCGGTCCCATGGTTATCAACACCTACTTGGGCCCAATTACTCCAGAAGATTACAGCTTTTTTCACCTCTTCTTGCTACCAGGAAAGTACATGCGAAACATTTGGCGTGCCAGAAGTGGAGGCTGCCTTCCAGCTGTTTTGCCCCACAAGGACTTTCTTGCTCTTTTTGGGATATTCCACAGACACCGAGAGACTAAGAGGGCAGCCAAATCCCATCCGTAAAATCCTGTTGCAAACAGTGGCTTCAGAGGGTGCCGCACCCTCGAAGTCTTGAGCAGTCACTTGCTACAAAACCGCAAACATCTGGGAATGTTTTCTTGATATGTTGATCTTTTTTTTGGCGGAAGTTGGAGAAGTGAGTCATACTTGAAAAACAAGAAGAAACCAGGACTGGGGGGGGGGGGGGGGCTTAGCTGGGAAGGAAGAGCTGCACTCTGCAGATGAGCAGAAACACTGCTTTTATTTTTAACTCGATCGCCTGTAATATCTTCCCAAGGGATACCAGTGCACTCACAAATGCATTCTTGTAGCAACAGCCAAAGCACCCTTTATGCAAACGGCAAGACGGAGGCTACAGAAAATGAGACCAGTGAAACTCAGGGCTCCTTCACTGGCCAAAAGGGGTTTAGGGAACAACCTTTAACCCCTAGACAGCATCTGAAGGACCCTAAGATATTTCGGATTCCCAGATCCGAGACTGGAGAGCACACTGTGATCTTGGAAGGGGGACCTGCTGTGTGTCCCCTTTGCAATTCGGTGCAGAAGGAACAGTGCAGGCCCTCTCTGATCGGGAGCGTTTAAAGAGGAGGAAAGGGGCTTTTTGGGAGACGAGGGATGGAGACCAGAACAGCCGGGATGTGAACCTTCTGGGCCTCTCCAGCTGCCTTCCCTCCTCATGCAACATGCTCTCACTAGAGGGGGCATAAGATCACTTCTCGCCTTGCGGTGGATTTGGGGGCTTAACACCATTGCTAGAGCTACCAAAGGCTGTTTTAGCCCCTGGTCCTTTTCCCTTTTGTCTCGCCTCCACCAGAAAGCAGCGCCCGAGAACCTCTCCCAGCGGAATCTGGCGCTTGGGCTGAGGCTCAGCACCCAAGCAGTTAGGAAGCAAGCAGATTGCTGCCCGTGGATCTCACGGTTGCTCTGCTCCTAACGGGCTGGAAGGTAGGCATGGGAGCACTCCATGGTTATGCAGGTGCAAGGTGGAAAGACACTTTGTGCGGGCACAGAGGTGCCATTGCTCCTGTGACAAAGCGTCAGTGACTGAAACAGACTTCAGAGCTGAGCCTCAGGGAGTCCCGGAGTCCCTGAAGCTCGTGTCTCTTGTCCGCCACCGTTCCTGCGTCCTTCCACCTCCTCGCTGAGCTTCTGAATGTTTCTTTCTGCAGGCCAGGCCAGCATTGTCTCCCTTTTCCTGTTTTGTGAGGCCGTCTGGACTCCAGTTCGCCATCACAGGGGGCTTTCCCAGTCTCCTGCTTCCGTCAATTCTTGAGGCTGCCAAAACGACCGCAGAAGGCTTCCCACCCTGCATGCCTATCGTTTCCACACACACCTCCACAGCGGAACCAAAACAACCCCGTCTTGTAACTCGGATCCCAGCTGGAGGGATGCTGGACAGAAAGACACTTTTCCGAGGCCAGGAAGAGAGACTCCGCATGAGGCAGTAGCCAGACTGGCGCTGGCTTCCGTCGGAACGACGCAGAACGCTTTCTCAGGTTGCCTCCAAAGCTGGCAGGCGATCTGTATTTCGAGCACGAATGCGCGGTTCAGACGCCTTGGGGTACCTTCCGCTGGTGACTAGTCAACTTCCGCCAGCTGATGTCTTGTAGAGGCATCAAGGACACTTCCTCAACTTGCCGGATGTGCCCCAGGCCCCGGAGTTTGCCTACTTCTGGCCTAGATGTTGGATGCACAGAGAAAAAGACGGTGGGAAAGGCAAATAGGAACTTTTTTTCCAGGCTTAATCTGGAAAAATGAGGGGCGTAGGGACCAACTCGGCCTGACTGCAGGCTGCGAGGGTGAAGATTTAGGTGGCTCCGGCGAGGAGCAAAAGACATTTTCAGCCGCTTCAGCCTCGTCTCTTCCACGTGCTCTGTATTTGTGGCCCAAGACCGGAAGGGGGTTCAGGGACTGCTTCGTACCAGCGATTGGCTGATGTGTTCTAGGTGTTTGGAAGGTGCGCAGCTCGCTTTCTTGGCAAAGCTGAAAGGCAGGCTTCCAACTGGGCGCTCGGCCAGGCTTGTGGCCCACGGGATAACTGGAGCAATCCTGCGTGGAGCGGCAGGGTTCTGCCATGGTGAATCTAGCGCTGCAGTGCGGACCCCGTTCGGTCTGTACTGAAGCGACAGCCCAAGCAGGACCCCTCTTCACGCCGGTTTCTCCCTGCTCGGGGCCACGCGGTCCGGCCGCTTTCCCCAAAGATGGGAGCTCTTGTGGCGGCTGCGCGATCGCCCGGGGCACCTCTGACTTCGGCAGAAAAGGAGGCCTCGCCGGTTCTGTTCTGCTGCTTCAGCTGTAGGCAAGCGCCACGGCCCCGGGTGCAGCCGAGCCGTCGCGCTGAGTCAGACCCAGAGCTTGGCTGTGGCCGGGCTGAGTCACTGGGAGCTGGGCTTGTCCTGGGCAGGGTGACTGCCTGCCTCCAGCGCCGGGGCAATCCGTGGGAAGGCACTGGGGCGTGTTCCTGGCTGCCGGGGCATTGCTACGTGCTGGGAAGATCCCAGGCTCAGGTGGAGACAAAATAAATGTAGCAATGCTAAGCTGCATGGGATCATTTACAGGGGGAGAGAGAGCGTTTAAAGGAGTTCAGCTTTAATGGCAAAAAGGGATTCACTGATGGGTAGGAGGGGCTCTGGATTTCAAGGAGAAAACCCCAGACAGACAGATGTGGGGCAGCAAGGGGGTGAAGCACTTGTGGGCCCAAAGCTGCCCCTTCCAGGGGGATCTCATGCAGCAGAAATCCTCCGGGGCCCCGTGCCTTGGCTTCGCCAAGTGCCTCCGGACCGCAGGATGGTGGGGCAGACGAAAGAGGGCGATTTTCTGCCATCCTGAATGGAGCCCTCCACCCCAGAACTCAGCCTTTGCGTTCCCGAAAGCTCGTAGGGTGTGCTAAGATCGCGCATAATTTTGGTTCGACATGTCAGTGAGAATTTGAGCTGTCTTTTGGGCTGGGGACGTCTCTCTTAGCCCAGTTTGCTGCATGGGCTTGAGGAAGCCATGGATTCGGCCTGGCCTGCCTTCCATGGCCCTTGTGCCGAAAACCGTGGGATGAGAGGGAGACGTTTGGAAGAGCATCTTCCCTCTTGCACGCCAGCCTGAGGTCATTAGATGAGGAACTTCCGGCATAAACTCCTAGGCCATCTGGACTCCAGCCGGAGCAGATCCTTTTCCGTTTTGGCTCCCTCCAAAGCAGAGGCCATCTTGCTCTGTTTTCAGTGCCTGCTGAAGGCATCTCAGCCTGACCGGTCCTGATTTTATGGCTGCGTTTCTATAATCTGATTTTGAATATTCGGATTCTGCATTTGGATGGGAATTAAAACCGGCACGGTCCGGCAGGTTGGGACGCTGTTGCGCCCTTGGTGGCCCTTGGCCAGATGCATGTGCAGGGGGCAATCCTCACATCCCGGATTATGGAGAACCTACTGAGAACCCCTGTCTTGCTTGCAGGGGAGAGACGGCTGCGTTGTGCCAGAGCCAGAAATACCACTGCTGAAATCATTCGTTATTTTGAGGGAAACGTCCTGTTAAAATAATTGTGTGTGTTGGCTTTTCGGAGCTGAAACCTGCCTTTGGAGTAGCCTCTGGGGAGGCTAAATGTGGGGTGGTGAATTTCCATGATTAATATGTCCTCCTGAATAACTCTGGAATTTGTTTGGGATCAGTTTACTGGCTGCTTTATTTATACCCTCTGAGCCAGAAGGCAACTATGTGAAAGGAGAGGGAGGGGAGAATAGATGGGAATTTTCCCAGGCGAGGCAAGCAGAAAGGCTGTGTTACCTAATGGGTGGAGTCTTTCAGGCCTGAGGACACATTTGCAGAGCTGTGGGCACTCTCACAAAATGGCTGGCCATTTGCAAATGGCCAACGCGAGACCCCAGCTCCAAAACGTACAGTGCTTTTTCGAAGCCGCATTTCTGTGCCCATTTCATAGAAGGCAAACTGTGGCGCCTGGAGATGTGTTCCCAGAGCCATCCTTAGACATAAAAATGGTGCTGGGGGCACATGGGACACCCAGTTATTTTTTTTTTAAATCTTGGGACTTCCCCGGAAATTTGTAAGGCTGACAGGTTCTGAAGAAAAATATGATATTAATCCTATTGATATCCTAAGGAGCTGGAGTCATTATGTAGGTTTCTTTCCCTCCTTATCTTTTGCTGACAACAACCCTGTGAGGTAGGCTGGGCTGAGCAAGTGTATATAGATGGTATAAAGGAGCATCCCGGATGTTGGGGTAGCGAGAGGCCAGTTCAGAACTAGGCCTGGCCCTCAGAATAAAGTGGGTGGGTTTGGCACTCCCCAACTCCACTCTGCATATGCTCAGAGGCACTGTTCTCGTCCGTAGTTCCTCCTCCACGTTTCCCTGGGGCTGAATCCTTCGGCCCTGGTTGCGAAGCACCAAGGCCTGGCTGGACCCGCGGCAAGGCTGCCAGCTGGCTGGAATGCCCTCTTCCTGGCCGGCAGCCAGAGAGAAGAGTGTATCGTCCAGCAGAAAAAAGGCCAGGAACTAAACGCAAAACCAGGAGGACCCGCACGAAGTGTGTTCGCTCTTTTTCGGTTTTGCATAAGACTTGAGAGAGGAAAGCTTTAAGACGCCACACGCGGAAGGTCCTCCTTTCTCCACCCGTTTTCTTAGGCGAGGTGTCGCCCGCGGCCGCTTTGTTCTCGGAATCTCTGCTCGGGTGGGATCCTCTGTGCATGCTCAGAGACACCCCTCGAGACGCGGGAATGCCTGGGCGGCGCGCGGCCAGCAGGGGGCGTCCTTCAAGAGGGCCCCCCACCCCCAGCCGCGTTTCGCCCGCGCCGCGTCCTGCGGAGCCCCGCGCAGAGCAAGGGGGGAAGCCGCGCTCTGTGCATGCTCAGGAACGCGCGGCCCGGGGCGCCGGCCCCGCGGAGGCGGGCCGGCGGGCCGGCGGGCGGGCGGCCAGCTGCCCCCAGAGCCCGCCCTCCCCTTCCTCCTCCTCCTCCTCCTCCCCCCCCGCCGCGCCCCGCCCCTCGCAGGCGCAGCCTCCGCCTCGGCCCGCCGGACTCCTCGCCTTGCGCCGGGCGCAGCCGCAGGCTCCGTGCGCGCCCGTCCGGGCAGCGGCGGCAAGTGGAGCCGAGCCGGGCCGGGCGGCCGCGGGCACCGACGGCGCGGCCATGAGCTCCGTGTGGAAGCGGCTGCAGCGCGTCGGCAAGCGCGCCGCCAAGTTCCACTTCGTGGCCTGCTACCAGGAGCTGGTGGTGGAGTGCTCCAAGAAATGGTACGGCGGCCGGGGCGCCTCGCGTGTCGCGTGTCGCGTGTCTCGCCCACGTGGGAAGGCGGCGGGCGCGCGCCAGCGCCGGGACGGGCTCGGCTGGCCCGGCGCAAACTTCCCGCCGCCCTGTCGGTCGTTCCTCGCGGCCTTCGCGACAGCCCGACAAGGTAGGCCGGTGCCGCCGGTCGCCCCGCCGCCTGTCCTGCAAGGTCGGCCAGGAGGCGCAGCCAGAGCCCCTTAGAGTTCCCGGTCGTCGGGACGGGGGGCGGGGGGCGGCCAGTGGAGGCAGGCGCGACGCACGTGTCTCTTTTCCCCGGCTGCAGTCGCGGGCTTTGAAGTTGCAGCTGCATTCCTGATGCGTTACAGCAGCGAGGAGACTCGGAGCAATACCAGTCCGAGCAGGGGCATTTTCGCGTTGGAAACGCGCGGAAATCCTAGCAGTCTCCGTTTGACAGGCGTGACGGGGAGTTTCTGCCGCCCCCAGCTGGTCCTCCAGGGCCGGGGGGGGTTGCACGTTGGCCCCAAATCCCCCCCACCGCCGTGTCCCCAGGGATGGCCAATAAGCTATAGGTCAGAGCAGAAAAACCCCTCTCAGAAACCCCCAGAGCTGCTTCCTGCCACTTTAGGGCAGGTGAGAGAGAGCTGGACACAGCCGCAGTCCGATTTCTTATCAGGAAGTTTCCTCTGCCCCCGTTTGAAGCGACCATATGGACTGGCGTCTTTATTGTCTGAGCGACTGAGCGCCTGCTTTTCTGCACAAGAGGTCCAAGGTTCAGCTCTCCAGCACCACCGAGCAGGGCTGGGCCATGCCTGCTTCCCGGGACGCCGGTTCTGCGCGAGACATAAGCCCCTGGTTTGGACTTGGTGCTAACTTTTCTGCTTTCACGTTTGGGCTGAGCCTGGCTGCTCCTCACGCAGACCCTTGGCTGCTCCTGGCAGCAGAATGAGAGGCAGAGGCTCTGTTGTTAGTGCTTCAGGAAAAGATGGTTTGTGGGCCAGGCCGGAGTACCAGGAAGTCAAGAAACGCATGGAGAAGGAAGTGCACAAATTCTGTGTAGTTACACAAAGCCTTTTCAGCTCTGGAGGCTGTGCGTGAGCTTGGCTCAGAGGACATGGAGGGAGCCGTGGCGCTGATGGGGTGGGTTCGAAATCCAGCGAAGAAATAATAATAAATAGTTGCCTACATACATTCTTGCTCTGCATCTCAGCACCCCGAGATGGGCCAAAAAGATTACCTTCCCTTTGCGTCTCCGGGAATTACCTTCATTGCTCTCTGTGCATGATGGGGAATGTGCCAATCAAGTACCTGGAGCCCACCTGGGCAGTGGTTGCACACCTCTGAACACGTGCAAAGAAATCTCATAGCCCATATTCCAAGTTCAGATAGGAAAAAGCAGTAGGTGGGGAGAAATTACAGCCAAATTCTTTTGGAAAACAAAACAAGAAAATTGCAGATTAAAATGGCTGTAACAAAAGGGATCTGGTAAGAGAGAGGCTTCAAACCCTTAAAAAGATCTAATAAAGATGTAGATTTTCTAAGCTCTGCAGGAAACTTGATCGTTATTTTAGCGAGACTGTGAAACGCTGGCTGTTGGCGGCTGTAGAAATAGGACAGGAAGTGAATGGTTTACTTCCTTGATTTCTTACTTCAACTTGCTGCTGCTGCCTTGAGTATATTTCAGTGGAAAAGTGAGGTATACATTTCATAAAGAAAGCAGAAACTGTGTTATAACATGCTTGCTAGCTGGACTTTTGTTGGTGAGTCGGCTTGAAAGGCGTGCATTTGTGTTAAAGGAAGGATATGGGGAGAAAAAGTGAATGCACATGGCCCAGAGACCTATGAAGGGCTATGGGAATGGTAGATAAATTTAGTAAATAACTGTTAAATAATCTAGCACCTGGTGGGAAGATATCCAGCGGTGTTGGGCACAATTCAAGGGCCCCCCACAAAGAACAAGGTGCAGCGATCAGACTCAGAAATGACAGAGGTTTGGGCCAGTGGAGTGAGGTTTGGTATATATTTTCACATCAGGAAACGAACGAGGTGGTGGATGATGGATATGTTTGGAATAGCAAATTGGGAAAACAGCTCCAGAGAGGGGGCTATACGGACTAGGGAGAGCTTGGGCCTGGCTCAAGGGTAAGTAGACTAGCTTGAGCGGATGGAAAATATTTGCAGATGTAGGAGTGACCCGATGTGGTCTTGTAACTGGCCAGTTCGTGTGTCATCTGTGGCTTGAAGGAAGAAGGAAGTGAAAGCAAGCCCCATTTCTCCGCTTAGTCGCCAAACTTTTTTCTTCTCGCCTTAGGCGAGTAAGCCACCAGCCTGCCTTCCTTTTCCCTCACCAGGAAGGGCTGTCCGGAGATTCCCAAATGAAGCTCTAAAATGATAGGGCAGCCAGAAGGTCCCCAAGAGCCTCGCTTAAGTTTGCTCAGTTCTCATTAGCCAGCGACATGGCTCTCTGTACATGCTCGGCAAACCTCTGCACTCTTTGGGTCTGAGTCCCGACACTGGGCAGCTCAGTTTAGAGGAAGCCTGCGGGCCGAAATCCATTCTGGAGAATCTCTTTGGGGCCACGATCCAGTGGCACCAGAACTACAGAAATAAAGTAGATTTCTGCTAAGCCGCGGAGAAGCTGCTCAGCCTTTTAGGGTGGCAACGAGACCCCAAAGGAGAGCGGCGGACGCTTGGCTTGTAAGGGAAAGGAGGCGAGACCTGGGACCCCAGCCCTGCAGGTGGGGAGCGGAACAGGTTTAGGTAGGGGCTGCCTGGGCGCTTTGGGGAGGGGCGGTTGAGCTCGCCCTCCCCTCACAAGCCAGCCAAACGTTTTCTTGGGGTGCCAGTGTTGTTCTGCAGGGCAAAGGGGGTACCAAGCGCCCGCCCCTCGCAGACTTCCAGCGGCCCTCGCTCTCAGAGCCGGTAGCCTGCTTGGGGCTGTTGGTGGGGAAACGCTGCCTCCCCTGGGAACAGATCCCACTGCGAGACTTTTGCGAGTCTGATAAAGCATTTTAGTGGGACAGACAAATGAAGCCCTGCCTCTCTCGTGCTTTTACTCTGACCTGGCAAATCCCTTATAAGGCCTGAAGAAATGATAAATATTTAGTCACTGTGGAGCTAAAGAAGGAAAACGCAGGGCGGAAACTGCCAGGGGAGTGGAGGGCAGCCGGGGGGGGGGGCTGTGGAAGCGAAAGCAGGGCTGTCCGGGGCCTTCGGATGGGAAGGGCTGTCCGCGGGCACCTGCGAGCGGCTTGGCCGGCTGCCTCGTGGGGCGAGCGGGTGCCGTGCCTGCAGATCTGTCCTGCTTCCGTGTGGCTCCAGGTCTTCCCAGCGGTCTGGTTCTCAGCTGCACCCCTTGTTCCCATGACGGGGCAAGGTCTGGCCCCGACTTGGCAGGGCCGAGCCAGGGCGGGGATGCACTGCAGTCTTCAAATTTGTGCTTCCTGTAAGAGGTGCTGGGGCTTAAGCCAGCCTGAGAAAGCTTATCTGTAATTCCTCCAGCGAGGGAGTGCCTTTGAGTCATAGAGCAAAGGGTTACGCACTCTGTGTATGTTTGGAGGCAGCTTTTATTGTGCCAAGTCGGAGCTGTGGCATTCGAATACATTCGGGGGCTAAAGCAAAACGCCCCCCCTCCGCCCTCACAATTCCACTGGCAGCTTTTTGTCAGCATGAATAAGATGGGTGTGGACAGAAGGTTTGCTCAGGGATCCTTCCTAAGATTTGGGGGCAATATCAGAACGATGCCATTGAATCCGAGAGAGAGAGACAGAGAGTGCTGAAATGCACCTCCTTTACAGTAAGAGACACTTGTCCTTATTACTGTATCCCCTGCCTTGGGTATGAGCGCTGGGTTCACCGATCGGGCTCTACAAGAACCACAGTGCCTCTGAACATGTGCAGAGTTTCCTCTCCTGTATATTGGGTGCTCTCCCTTGGATCCGTGTCTGTTTGGGAAAAAGCTTTCTGGTGTGGATTGCGGGGGAAAGGGAAGGTAGGCACTGCCAGGCCTCCGTGACGAAGCGAGAGACATTTGGTGCTGTATTGGGTTTCTTTTTGGAGCCCAGAAATAACCAGCACCTGCAGTGGATTTGTGCCTCTTGGCCCCCGGGGGCTAAAATTAGCTTTTGGCCACTAGCCTGGAAGAATGAAAGATGCTGTCAGAAGATGAAGCCGGACATCAGAGCCTCTCTGATCGACTCAATGGGTTGTTTAAAAAAGAAATCCGGGCAGTGAGTCGGAATTTGGGAGTTGACAACACAACCGGGAGCTTAAAGTAGGTTTTAAGCCCGCACCGCAATCTGAATGTAAACTCTTCTCCAGAAAAAAATGCTTGGCTACCTAATTTTCTGAAGAAAACTTCCCACTTGCTTGAGATTTTTTGTATTATCTTACATTTTTATCCCACGGTTCTGCTCCTCTCTATTTTATCCTCACAACAACCCTGCGAGGTAGGTGAGACCGAGAGGCTGTGGCTGCCCAAAATCTCCCAGTGAGCTTGGCGGTGGCTGAATGGGAAGTAGAATCTAAATCTAACAAGTCCCAGCTCAGGACTCTAACCCTAGGACCCACCCTAACACTAATGCTGAGAGATGCGTCGTGTAAAACCAGTGGATTCATAGCAAATGAGCACTTCAGATTGGGGTACGGAAATGGATAGGATGTTAGATCAGAAGTCGAAATGGCCGTTTGATTCTTTTGGACTTGGCCTAGAAACGCACGTGTTTATTTTGATATATTCTGGCTTGCTAAAATTGGCACCTGAACCATGTCAAGTGATTTCACCGGAAATCTAAATTGCATAAAGAGAAATGGATGCAGTTGCAACATCATAAATTGAATGTATTTCAGCAAAATTGCTTTCTAAGTAAAGTTGGGATGTGTTTGCATATAGCATTTGAACCACGCTATTGGTGCAGTCCGGTAATGCTCTCTAGGCTAGGCTTCTCTCCCTCTTTTCCACTAATTTTCATTTTCTTAAATTAAAAAAAAAACCCTGCCCTCCAGGGCCCTTTTTGTTTGTGTTCAAAGTAAGAGTGGGCTTGTGGTTTGGAGCTCAGATTGTCCTTGGGTTCTTAGGAAACTTGCTTTTCTTTTCATTGTGCTAGTTCTGGGAGACAAGGGTCCCACTGTTCATGTTATGAATGAGCATGTCCTTTGACAGCCATCTTGTGAGTGTGCCCACGAGTCGCCTTCAAGATGCCTGCAGATTCCAAAAGATCGGGGCCCCATAAGCTCTTGCTTCAGAGCTGCATGTTTCCCGAAGGTGGAAAGAAGGGTTTGCTTTTGGGGTGGTGAGAGTCCAGAACAGGAAAGGAGGAGGGCTGCGTGGCACACCAGGGACTAGCCTCTTTCCACACTTGTGTGCTGGGGGTTGGGTGCGGCTCGGGATCAGCACCCCACCCTGTGAGCCTGGAAAGGGGAAGATTACAAAATCAAGAGAGACAAAATACCCAGCCCTGTTCAGCTCAGTCCTCAAGGGAACACACGCCGGTGTGTGACCCTTGAACTTCTGTTTTCCTCGCCTCGCCTGGAAAGAAACTGAGAAAATCTTCCACCCATGTACCGCCCTGTGGGTCAGGAGTTGCCCTCAGAAAGGAATTGAAAATTGAGGATGTAAATGGAGTTAATTAAAAAGTAGTTGAGCATCTATAATTGGCTTAAAGCAATTGGAAAATTCATTAGTATGCAGAATGCTAACTTCTTTTCTGAACTAGAGTGCTGAATGGCAGAGGGACAGATAAATTTGTGGGCTTGGATGCATTGGTTGCCCTTGTTTAAAATCCCTTGGCAACTTTATTTTGTTTTACTCTCTTTTACACATCTTTTCTTATTTTGTATCCAGTTTATGTTAAGAAAATGATAAACAAACACAAAAAGGAAGAAATCGAAAGTCAAGGCTGTTGAGATTGTAACACCTGTAGCTACATAGTTGGTGTGAACGCACCAAAGCCAGCCAAATCTTTCCTCATTCCAGACAGTGCTCATCAAATAAAATCCCCAATTTTTTTGCAGCCTGACCCAGAGCATTGCAAGCCAGTGGGGGAAAAGCTTGCTTTTCCCACTACTAACCTTCAGCTCCAGACGGGGAGAGAATGTTTGTGGGATGGGGCAGGGGAATATTTTTATTTTATTTTATTTTTATTAAAACATTTTTATGCCGCCCCATTCGCCGAAACCTCGGGATGGCTTACAACAATAAATTAAAACATCACAAATATGGCAGCTTCCCCAGCTACAGTCCCGCTGGAGATTGCCCACCTGCATGGCAATGAAGCAGAGAAGAAAAACTCTTCCTTTGACATGCGTGGATATAGAAAAGTTTGGGGAATTGATCTGGCCCTGTGGCCATTGATCAGGTTGGAGAGGGAGGAATTAAGTTTGGCAGCTCCACTGGCAACGCACCTGTTACAGGTTACAGTTGATTTCCACCTGGCTGGTGGAGCATAGCTTGCAAAACGGAAGAGAAACTGCTCTTGTCTTTTGATCCTTTGATGTACACCTGAAGGGCCAACGCAGGTATGTGTAGGCAGGTGAGCCGGAAAGCCATCCCGTTTCACGTTTGCTTCTGTTCTGCTTCTGAATCTCTCTCCCTCCGTTGCCAGGCAGCCGGACAAGCTGACTGTGGTGTGGACCCGAAGGAACCGCCGGATCTGCACCAAGGTAGGCAAGCGTCTCACTTTGGGTGGAGGCTGCTGGGAACATTTCCCCCGTGCGATTCATTGCATGTTAAGAGAGGCAAGGCCAAGCTCTTCGCTGGTGTCCCAGTTTCCTCCCTTCCCCTCAAAGCCCCTGCCCCTTTTTTTTACAATTTTTATATTTATTTTCTCACAACAAATTTTTGCAACCATTTCCCCAGGGCTTCAACATTTGCAAAAATGTTAAACTAAAAGTCTCACATAAATGTCTTACGACATAAGGCCGTGGAGTAAAAGTTTCTGAGGGTGACAAGTACTGGTTTTCCGGATGTTTTGATCCTCGGCTTCCATCAGCTGTGATCCCGGATGCTTAGGATACAGGCGGAAGCATCTGGAGCGCCATGGTTTGTGTACCCCTGAAATATTGCTCTGTGGTTTTACTCCCCAAGAATAGTTTCAACAAACCCCAGAAACATGTTTGCATAAGACTAGAGGTTTAAAATTTCTGCAATGTGGAAGCTATGTGACCTGGGGGATTTTTAAAATCTTCTCGGTGTAATTTCCTGCCTAGTAACTTTTTCCATTCCTCCTTGTAATTATTTTTCTAATGTATATTTACTGATAGACTTTTTGGGGTGCTTTAAAGTCTGGCTCAGTTTCTCAACAGGTGCTTAGAGAGTTACCTTTCCTAATCTTTGGGGAACATGTACCTTTTTGACAGTCTGGGCTTTGTTCCTTAGCGGAGTCCTGCATTTCTAGCTCTGGTTCTGGTTTCTGGTCGGGCTTGTTCTGGTTAGATCTGCAGCTGGGCATTGAACGTCCTTCCAAAACTCCCATGTGAGAGAAATATTCTAGATAATCCTGCAGCTGCTTCCACACATGACAGAACATGGAGGCGACCCCACCTACGTTGCTTCTTACAAAAACAGCAATTTTAGACTGGCATCTGTTGAACTTGCTGTTACTATTCTTAATAGAATAGCGCTTCGGTGATTGGGTGGTAGAGAAATGAAAACAAAAATGAGAATAGTGATGGTGATAGAATTTCTGGTTAGACTGGTGCTTCGGTTATGAATCCGTCTAGGAAGCAGTCCTGGATGCTGTTCCTGGATGCTCTTGCTGGGGGGTGGCGGGTGTCATAGGATATTGTGGTTTCTCAGATCTGTCGACTTCGGAGCTGGGAAGCAGTGCTGCAGCCCCCTGCAGCCATCTGAAAAAGAAAAGAAAGCAAGCTCAGAGGGCATATTTCAGTATGTGGAAAGACTCGAGAGCCCACGGCCAGCTATTCTGAGGCCTTCCCAGGCCCCTTCCCCACTCCCTGAAATGGCTTTACTAGATGGACACAGAAAAATCCCTGAAGAAATCCAGGGCACAACGAGGGAGACAGAAGGCAGGTCTGCCCTGCTTCTCCCACCCTGTCCAGGATCAGCACAAGTCTCCGCATTTTGGAGCTCAGGATTGTCACAAGAAGATTGTGCCTGTCATGAGTACCATCAAAATACACCCCTTACACCTGAAAGAGGCTCCAGCAGCCGGGCAGAGAACAACAGAGTGAAATTCAGTCGGGACAAACGCCCACGTCCTGCAGTAAGAGCAAGAAACCAAATGCATTGCTCCAAAACGGGGAACGTTTGGCTCGGCAACAGTGCAAAAGGGTTGTAGATCGCAGCCTAAATAGGAGCCAAGAATGTGATGCCGCTGCTGAAGGGGACCGGCCATATTTTGGGCTGCATTAACAGAAGCAGCTTTTCCGAAACGTGTTCTCTGCACCTGTCTGACTTCACTAGGGCTGAGTCCAGTTCTGGGCTCTTACTAAGCTTTAAAAAGATGCAGAAAAGCTGGAGGGGGTTCCTGGCATGGGAACAAGGATGAACCAGGGACTGGAAGCGACATCCTGTGAGGAGAGATTGAGAAAACTGGGCATTTTCTATGTTTCCTGTGATGTAGGCACGGAATTAACACCCCCAGTAGGGACAACCTGTAGGAATGAGCAAAAACTGAGAGAGGAAAGGCCATTCTTCCTGCTATAGGTTGCCATTGCAGAAAAGCATCTTACATTTAAATATGCTTGGGTACCACTTTTGATAGGCAAGAGAGTCTTCCCAGGCAGAGAATCTCTCAATAGCTTTTCCTTCAGACCAGATTTCCTTAAATTCCACCGCAAACGATTCCTCACAAACAGGAACGGTTTCTGCATGCTGGACTTCCTCTGTTGCCAGCTCTTCCTGCTCCTTCGAGCTGGTAAATAATTCAGATGTTTCCGGGAACACGTGCTGCAGCCTCTTCTGGTCAGATGAAAAATGCAAACCTACGTTATATTATGAATAAACTGGTTTGCTCATAAAAGTGTAAAGAGCGGTGTATTGGCTGAAGAAGGGGTGTGCGTGGAATTGGCTGCGACCAAGATATACCTCTCTTGCCGTGGCCTTCTTCCTTCCCACTCTGATGCAATTGGACAATTCAGTCCCTCTTTCTACCTGCTTTACTGCATGGAAGGGTCCTTCCCGCTGCACCGGATGCCCGTAACCCTCCAACTTCAGGGTTTTTACAGGCAACGTGATTGGGTGGCACGTTGGCCTTTAAACATTTCCTTTTAAACGCTTCTGATTTTATGAGCAAACTAAGTTACACATAACACCAGTCACACTCCTAAAGTCACAGAATTCTCTCGCAAGAGTTTCAAAACACCCAGCCGTGTGGTCTGTGGCCCAGTTCCCCAAACATTGCTGTTAGTTTTCTGGAAAACAAAAGCCCGGCTGTCGACACTTCTGGAAGTTTGACTTCGTCATTGCTGTGTGTTTGATGGTGCCTCAAGGACTGTGTCTGGTTTTCTGCAGCCCCATAGCTGGCAGCCGGGAATAAAAAACCCATACCGGGGCACGGTGGTGTGGATGGTGCCCGAGAATGTGGACATCATGGTGACTCTCTATCGGGTAGGTCTGACCGGGGTGGTCTTGCGTGGGCGTGGATCCCCCGCTCTGTACCCGCAGAGCGGCCCAGGCGCTTCAAAGCTGCTCCCCGTCTTGTCTGCCGGTCCAGAGCTCTGCATCAGGAGGCACAGAACCCTCTGAGGGCCAAGCTGCCTGACGCAGAATGTCTCGGGGGTGATTTTCCATGGGTGCCGGCCAGAGAGAGAGAGAGAGAGAGAGAGAGAGAGAGAGAGAGAGAGAGAGAGAACTATTCCATGCTGGCTGAAAATCCAGTAAAATACAAACAAACAATAAAATCCAATTAATACACATTAAAATATTGATCGAATAAAAAGGTCTTGACCTGGTGCCGAAAAACATATAATGTTATGACCTCCTATGCACACATCTGAAGAGCAACGCACCCGCAAGCGGGTTGCGATTCTTCTGTGCAAGCTCGGAACTGTTCCTCGCCATTGGGGTGGGCGCGTAGCTCGGTGCTAGCAAGCCAAGTTGCATTTGTTGCATGCAGAAGCCTCCAGTCTCACACCCTTCTCTGCCCGTTGGAGGAGGCAATTCTGCAGAAATAGGACACCTTGATATAAGGTGGGCTTCTGCTGAACTTAAGCCGAAAGTGCCCCCCTCCCAAACTGGAAGGTGTGCCCGTGATCCCCACGCTCGTTCCCACAGGATGGCCTTCCTCTTTTCCAGGACCCTCATGTAGAAGAGTACGAAGACAAGGAGTGGACCTTCGTGATCGAAAATGTATGTTGGATTTACTCCTGTGGGTGGGAATTGGGCTGGGCGGGCTCCGGAACAGAGCGGGGGCGTTGGGTGTCCAGGGCAAGAAAGCCTCGCCATTGGTCTTTAAAGCAAGGGTGGGGAACCGCTTTTCTTTTTTGGGGGGCAGTGCTGTGGAAGCAGTCTGTCAGGGCCTGCTTGCTGACAGTTCAGGGGGCACAGCCCAAAATGTGTGGGCCTCCCCGCCCTCCTGCTGCTCTTTGCTCATCTCCCCACCGTCACACCCTCTTTCTCTTCTTCCCCTCTGCTACCCCCTTCCCTGTTTGTCTATATTTCTCTATTTTTGTCTATATTTCTCTATTTTTCTCCCATTTTCTGCCACCCCTTTCTCCTCCGTTCCTCTCTCTCTCTCTCTCTCTCTGCCTCCCCTTCTCCTTTCCTCCCTTCTCAGTGCACTGCCAGGGGAAGGAAATTTTGCTCTTTCCAGGGGTCTCGATCGCTTTCAGGCAGTGGGCTTAGAAATTACGTTAAGGGACACGCGTTCCTTAAAGGTTCAAGCCAGCAGCCAAACGGGTCCAGGGAGTCGCTTGTGCCTTTGCGTCGGAGCCCCTTGCGGTGGCACGTGGCGCAGGGGCGTGGGGTTCCTCCGTGGGGCGCCAGCGTCGAGGGCGGTGCATGATGGAACGCGGAACAACCGAGGGGAAGGAATGCGGGGCATGTGCGAAGGCCGCAGGGTCCGGCGGCCAGAAGAAACTGACCGCTCGCTCGCTCGCTCGCCTGCCAGGAATCGAAGGGGCATCGCAAGGTCCTGGCCTCGGTGGACATCAACCTCAAGCGCTTCGCCAGCCCCACGCCCACCCAGACGGACCTCAAGCTGAAGCTGAAGCCGCGCTCGGTGAAGGTGCTGGCGGCCACGCTGCAGCTCACGCTCTCCTGCGTGTTCCTGCGCGAGGGAAAGGCCACGTGAGTGCCCCCCCCCGTGGGCGAGACACCGGCCGGCCGGTCGAGGGGTCGGGGGCCGCTCTCTCGGCAAGGGATGGGCCGGAAACCCGGAGATTTCGGACTTGTGGCCGTGGCTTCCCATGGCCAAGGTCGCCAATTTGGTCCTGGCCACTCTGGTTAAAAGGATGGCGTAGGAGCTCAGGGGACACCCTCTTTGCCTGAGGCTCTGGGGGGTCTTGGCTGCGGGGCAGCCCCCCGTGACTCTCGTTCGTGGCTCGGGGACCTTTTTCAGTCCGAGGGTTGAATTCACTCCTGAGAAGGGTCTTGGGGGCTTTCTCCTCTCTGGGGGCAAAGTGGCAGTTGCCAAGGCAAAGCCAGGACGGGTCGCTTACTGGTTGCGAGTCCACTCAGGAGTAAGCAGGACCGACTTGGTCAGCAGCATCCTTCCCCGGTTTCCCGCTCCGCTCTCTTTCCCCTGAGGAATGTCCTACCTCGGATCAGCAGCTGGTCGGAGATGAGAGCTTTTCCCCAGCCGAACTGCAAAGGGACTCCCTTTTCTGGGTGCGGCAGGGACTGATCAGAGTTACGTGCGAAGAAGGGGGGGAGTCTCCATGACCCATGCTCGATCCATGCCTGATTTAATAGGATTTTCAATAAATGAATAGGATTTTCCTATTAATTCATTTAATAGGATTTTCAACACATCTTCCAATAAATACACTCCTTTCTAAGAGAGAATGAGAAGGGAAGGGAAGGGAGCTGCTGTTCTGGCCGGGGACAGGTGTAAGAGGCCTTGCGCGTACACCGTGTGTTGACTAAAAGTCGGCTGCTCGATTTGACTCCCTCCGCCTTTCCGGCCTCCCAGGGATGAGGACATGCAGAGCTTGGCCAGTCTGATGAGCGTCAAACCCTTGGACATCGGCAACCTGGATGACTTTGCTGACAGCGAGGATGACGCGTCGGCCGAAGAAGCCCCGAAGCCGAGCCGGCAGGAGAACGGGGCAGGCCCGGGCGGTCCTCCTGCAGGTGGGACTAGTCTTCCTTCCTGGAAACTTGGCATTTGATGGGTTCGGCCCTACAGATCTGTTGACAAAACGGGGATCTTAGAACCGGAAGCTGTCATTCCTGTGCTTTTACTTTCATTTCCACCGCTTTGCCCCGCGGCAAAAGCAAAGCTGCTCCCCTGCTTGCAAGGGCAGGAAACCAGAGCACTCAGGTTCATGTCAGTTCACTTGCCAGAACTGGCTAAGCTTTGCCAGCGTTCCTTTTAGCCAAAGTGCAGGTGAGACGAGATCTTGCAGGTTCTTGGTTGTCTGCTTGCTTCAGGTTTGCGGCGGTGACCGGCAAAATCGTTGCCTGCAGCGCCTCTGAGGTCTTGCTGTGTGTTTTGGCAGTTTTTAGTTTTTCAAAATGGAGGGTTTTCTCTAACTGGGCAAAAATATTACTGAGGGTTAACAAGGGTTGGCATGAGATTATTCTGGCTTTTGGGGTGGCTGGGGAAGTTCTAACTTTTACGTTCCAGAACATCTTCCCCAGTTATTCTGGCTGGGGAAGTCCACCAGACGACCTGCTGAACCTTCTTGCTGTTTTTGTACAATAGTCTGGTTGATAACAAGAGATATTCAAGACATAACACTAAGCTGTAGTTTAGCGTTAATTCCAAACTGGGTTAGTTTGGAACCCAGACTTTTTAGGCAGTAAAAAGCAGAAGATACCTCCCCGAGGGAACCTCAGACTTGGGTTGTTCTCCATCAGATCCTGATGTGCCTTTCCGGAGAAGCTTCTTAAATCTACCCACCTTCTGCCAGCTGGGTGTCCCAGGGTGCCCCCCCCCCCGCCACCATCTAGTGCTGAAAGCCTGGTCCTAAAACAGGACTGTTTCCACTTGGTGCTCTCCCTCCATTTTTCCTTTCCGAGACCATCAGAATTCTGCCCCAACTCTCGCTAGTGCGGCATCTTCTCCTGTATCACTGCACGATCGCTGCTTCGTTTCTTGCTTGAGTTGGGACAGTCAAAGAGGAGGTGTAAAGAGGGTGGCTGAAGATCTGTCCCCACCCCTTATTTGGTCTTCCTTCTTGCTGTCGGAGTTTCAGCAAGCCCTGATCACAGGCTGAAGGCATAAGGACTAGAAACTTGCTTCCGTGGTTTTGCTTTCGTGTTTTAAATGAAACTGACGTTATGGAGAGGAACAAGCAGGCAGTGCCAGGGCGGATGAGCAGATAGTACAGCCTGGAGTGAGACGTCTCCTTTCGTTCTGTACCTCAGTGATAGCATTCCAGCGCTGCTGCCAGTCAGAGCAGGTTATACTAGGTTGGAGGGGCAGAGACAGGAATAGAGCAGCGTTTCTGGCCCTGCGATGTTTCCAAGGAAAGGGCGTGGATGGGCATAGCGCTCTGCTCTATGCAGATTCCCAGGTTTGCATGGTGCATCCGCACGGCTTCTGAAAATCCTGCACGAGCATGTGCCCCCATCGGACCCCCCTGGGCTCTTCCCCCTCCCGCCTGGCACGAGGGTAACCCAGCATGTGCTTTTCGGACGTTGAAGCGATGGGTTGCTTTCCTTGCGGAGGAAGATTAACTCTCGTCTCTACCCTTTAACCAGCACTCCCTGCTCCAGCGGCCTCACATTTGCCTCAACTGCTAGTCACTCTCTCCGTTTCTCTCTCTCTTCCTGTCTGACTCAGGATTCCTCAAAAGCGTGTTGACGGACTATTTTTCAGGTAGGCGCCTCGCCGGTGGTGCTGGGCGTGCGTTCGGGGTTTCCCGGCATCCCCTGCCGGGCACCCTGTTTCTCTGGCCTTCCAGGCCTCCGGTTGAATCGCGGTGGCTTTTCTGGGGCTGCTCCTCATTCCGGACCGAGGGGCTTCTGCCCCAGGAGCGCGCAAGCCGAGTCTGCGTTTGGGTGGTGGGGGAGAGAGCGGAGGGAGGGGTTGTCACGGTGGTCCTTGCACGGTGGAGAGAGGGCAAGCAGCGGTGGTCATCCTCGTGCCGTCGGAGAGAGGCCAAAATGCCACCGGTGGAGCAGAATCCGCAAGCCACTTGTCATCTGCTGGGAACGGGTGTTTCGCAAGGCTAAGAGGTCTTCGTTGGACTCGGCCCTGACCTTTGATAGCCAGGAGGGGCTTGTCCCGCCAACGCTGGTGCACCAACCCCGCCTATTCCGAGAGACTTCTGATGTGGCTACGAAGGGCACTTCCCTTCGTTACATCCGTTCGGATGACGCGCTCTTCAGAAGCTCCTTGGAAGCTTCAGCTCATCCCTGAAAGCGGTGGTCAGACTTGGCTAGGGCTGGTTGTGAGGAGCCTGCAGCTGTTTCGCTACAGCTTTACTGGTTTCGGCCCATTTCTAGGCAGAATTCAAAGCGTCGATTGGGATCTTAGGGGGTCTAACTCCCGAAAGACCCCCTGTTCCCGTATGGGCTTGCCCTGTTCCTAGGATCTCTGGGGATACCCCCTTTCAGGACTGCTGCCTTTAGGGGGCTTTTTGGTGGCTTTCTGAACCATGGCCTTTTTAGGGGTAGCTTCCGGGCTGTGGAGCTCCCTCCCAAGGGAGGCTCAGTTTTCTCCCTCTTTTGATATCCTCCTGCCAGCAGGCAAACTGTGCTTTCTTTTAGAAGGCCTCAAACCTGTTAGTGGGTTAGGTACCGCTTTCATTTTTATTTTTCTGTAACTTAAACGTTTATCGTATTTGAATGCATTTTCATCCATTTTCATCGGCTCTGTAAACTGTCTTAAATGCCACTTTTTGGTCAAAAGGCAAGTTACACATGAAAGCAAAGCAAATGGCTTCCCGGATCTGGCCATCACAAATAATTCTCACACAGCTTGGTTTCCATTGGGGAAGGGCGGGCACTAAAGGGTTAAGCCGCAGGCTCCATGGGAAGGAGGCTTGGAAAAAAGGGGGGGCAGCCAGGTGGGGAGCAGGGGATGTCCTTCGGGGGGGGGGGGGCGTTCCAGATTGGAGCGGCAGCAAGGGATGAAGGGTGTCCAGGTCCCAGTGAGACAGCTGCTCCGCTTTTAGGGTCCCTGCATCCAGTGGTGTCTGGACCTCCCATAAAGTCCCTTCCAACTCCACTTTGGCAAAGAGAGAGGAAGGTCCAGGAGCAGCTGGAGCGGGGCTGGCGCGTTCGGCGTTATGACACGGCCCCCGCGGCCTCCTCTCGCGAACCTCGTGGTCCCTCCTTCCCCTCGCAATTTTCCTTTCCTTGCGGGACTCACTGCCTGCTCCTTTCCTCCTCCCACGCAGACACTTCTCGGGATTTGAACACCCTGACTGAGGAGGAGGAGGAGGCATCGGGCCAGGGCGCAAGTCAGATGGGATCGGCAGCCCCTGGCCCATCCAAGACCGCCAGGAAGGAAGGTAAACCGAGGCAGCGGTGAATGTGTCCGCTCGTCGGGGCTCCAGGCTAGCAGACTGGGCAGAGGGGGGTTGTACTTCACTCACTGGCACCTTTTGATTTTCATTTCTTATTGTATGCCTTTATTTCTTATTTTTAAGTTCGTTTAATTAACTGGGTGGCTGGCATTCTGCCAGGCAAAGGGTGGCCTTTCAGGGCCATGGAGAGGATGGATAGACTCCCCTTTCTTTGTCTGGCACGGAGGTTCTAGGGCGAGTTTTGTTTTCTATTCACGTTACTGGAGTTTCTTCTGGGAAACCCTTGCTAAGCAGCCCTTTGATGAGCGGGCGAACCTTCCCCGGGGATCCCCACCTTCCCCGTGGTTTTTAAAAATTTCTATACCGCCCGAGAGCCGACGTTGTCTGGGCAGCTCACGATGATCTGTCGGCAGACAAAAATGATGGCATTTCCTTGGGGACCCGGAGGGGCCCACAAAAGATACCGGACCCATATAGCACTAATGCTGGGGTACCGTTCCCTGGAAGGCCATGAAGTGCGATAAAAGGAGGCGGAGGAAAGAAAAGCTGTTTGCTGCAGGGGATCGAAAGGAGGGCCAGTCTGTGTTTTAAGCCTCCTCGCCCCCTTCCTGTGCACCGTTGGCCCACGTAAAGCCACAACGTCACTTTGCACCCTGGCTGTTGGCAGCTGCCTCAGAGCCCAATGCGAGGGATCTGGATGGAGGGGAACCATTACAGGACTGGTCCTGGGCTCCTTCTCCCGTTCACGTCACCCGTTTCGACAACGGTCCCCAGTCCGACGACAGCGCGTGGGTGCCGCAGCCTCACCGCTTTGCTCTCCCCCTCGCAGCCTCTCCAGGGGTCCCCGGCCAAGCAGCCAGCGCCGTCGACGGAAGCGCCCTTGGGGACGCGGCCCGTCCCGCCGCCGCGACGCCTTCGACAGTAAGTGGCGCGGAGTGTGCAGGGCTTGTGGGGCACGAAGGCGCGAGCGGAGTGAGGCCGGGAGGAGCGGCTGGCGCCTCAGGAGGGCCGGGCACCGGGGACCGTCCGAAGGGCACGTCTGCGGAGCTGGCAGGAATGGGGGCCGAAGAGGCGGCGGTGGAGGAGGAAGAGAGACCCGAGGTGCCGCGGGGGCAGAGGATGCCGTCGCCGCCGGAGGATGCTGAGGACAGGTGAGAGCGGCTCCGTTGGTGGGGGGGGGGGGACCGGGACACCTGGGTCCCCTCCCAGGTCCTGTGGAGGGGGGGCGGCGGAAGAGGGGTGAGCGGGGTGTAACAGGGGACCATTTAAATGGCAGGGCTAATGGAGTGGAAGTGGAATTCAGTGCAGTTGTTTTCCCAGTATCCCTGGCATTTGGGTCCTGCCTGTGCAAGGAACCCTTGCCCAGCCCTTCCACTCTCCGTTGTCTCCTCAAAACAACAACCCTGCGAGGGAGGGTCAGGCTGCACCCCAGACTCACCCACTGGGCTCCAGGACCGAGTCAGGGTTACAGCCCCGATTTCCCCAGTCCTGCTGCCGGACTTGAAGCGCCACTGCTCACGGTCTTCCACCGCATTTCAGGTGTCTGGTTGGTGCGTCCTGTAACTGCTTAGTGCCAGGGGAGCGTAGTGTCAGCGGCTCATCGCAGCTTTCGGCGTCTGTGGGAGGGAGTTTTGCCGAACTCCCGAGCTTTTGCTTTCTGCACAATCCTTCCAGAGAAGCCTCTCTCTTCTAGGCGGCCTCAAACCCGCCAGCAGCCCCGGAGCAGAACGAAATCCGGAAGCGGCTAGTTTTGTTTCTGCTTTCTCCAGAGGGACCGGGGTGGGTTGCGAGAGAGAACAGGTGCCTTCCAGTTTGAGGCTCTTTCAGTCCCCCCACACCCCCCACTGGAAGGGAGAAAAGGGAAGTTTGCTTGGGGAGTGAGGCGCTGGCTTTTGCAGCGGGGTCATGGTGATGGGGATTCCCGGAACAGTGGTCACGATCTGCCACGCGGATCCCCACAGCCGCAAACGTGCACCCTAAAAGGATGCCCGGCTCCGTTTCTTGCCCCTGGTGGCCCCGAACATTTGCACTCCCGTGCCCTTTGGGAATGTGGGATTGGCCACGGGGGTGGCTCGTGTACCCCCCTCTGCCTGCCGGGGCAGGTCCTGCTTGCACATGTGAGCCGAGCTGTCTCAGCCTCGTCCTCCTTGGGGTTTTTACGTCGCCCGGGGTGGAGGTCTGAATCATGCGTCAGGCCCCGTGGGGGTTTGCTGGGCGAGCGGCTAGCCACGTGTGGCAGGAGCCACTGGCAGCCGCGAGAGGAACCGCTTCTCCTCTCGCCTCCTTCCGTTTCCCTGCTCGGAGGTCAGGCCGTGGAAAAATCCCATTTTGGTGGAGAGAGCACTGGGGTGTTTTTGCATAAGGCTGCGTTTGCTACCCGGAATTATGGCTTAGAAAAGCATTTCTAACTCTTAGGAGCAAGAGCTGGGAGACCAGTGAAGGGGGCGGGGCCAGCGAAGGGGGCGGAGCTCCCTGGGGAGACCCGTGGGACTCCATTCAGCTGCTGGGGGGGGATTTTGCATCCCCCTCTTCAGGAGTCTTAACCAGACTCTTCCAAGCTGTGGGCCTTTCAGATGTGTGGGACCACCCCCCATCATTCCCATGCCTGACTGGGGGTGATGGGAGGGGTAGTCCAATGGATCTGGAGGGTGCCTGGCTGGAGCAGGCCACATTAACTTGAAGGCCACCTTCCCCCTAGTTTCCTTTTCCCACTTTTTTTAAAGAGAAGTGAAATCTTGAATTGCAAAAAACTGTGATTGAGCAAGAAAAACCAGATAGGAAACACCCTGCCAGGTCAGCGTCCGGGCCGCTCGGCTACTGGGAAGCTTGGAAGCAGGCCTTGGGGGAAATGAGAACTTCAGTGCTGCCCTTTAACGGCTCAGAGCCTGGCTTCTCCTAGCCGGTATTGCCAGCACAGACCGGCAGCTACAGCTTCCTGCTTTTCCAGCCCTGCCTGGGAATTCTGGGGCTGCAGCCAGAGACTTCCCATGGGCTGCTTCCAGTTTTGGAGGTGCCATGCCCCATCCCGAAATGGCAGGCCAACACTTCCCCTCCAGAAATTTGTCTGAACCTCTCAGAACGCTCCTCTGAGTTAGTAAGCTGAGGAAATCAAGCTGGTTTTCACATGATCTCAGCGAGGGAAACAGGCTGTGCTGCTTTATTTGGACGCGCTTTGCATCTCTGCATCTTGGGGAAGTTCCCAAACTATGCAGACCCAGCGGGGTGGCCGGTGGCTGTGCTTCACAAGCCTGCCGTGCCCAGAATCTTGCAACGGCCCTTGGATTCTGGGTGGTCTCTTCGCCACACCGCACGGCGACCCTGAGAACAGCCCACCTTGGCGTTGTGAGACCCCCGGTTGGCTGGGGGAGGCTTTGCGTCTCCCACCCTCCGTTCCTCCCCAGGCAGGCAGGTTCTGCCTCCTCCCATTGGCTCCTCAGGACAAGACCTGGGGATGATGGCTTTGTGCCAGTGCCCTGTGCATTTTACCCAGGGCCAGACATCCTCGACGTGATGCTGGCCACATGATGGACATTGTGGTCATAAGTGGCTCTCCAAATGTTTGGGACTTCAGCTCCCAGCATCCCCTGCTAGCAGAGCCCATGGATGTGAACACGGGCCATTGCAGTCCAAAGCACTGGTCCACACGGCACGAACGTTCAGAAACGAGGCCGATTCTCAGGCTTTCTCTTTCTCGCCTCTCCTGGATGTCTGCTGCTGCCTTTGCGCTTTGCGCTTTCTCTTTCGCTTAGCAGCTCCAGCTTTGTCCACCCGCAAATACTCCACGGGGGCTGCTCCCCCACCCCCAGAAGTGGGACTCTGTGCCAGCCAGGGAGGGATGGGAGCAGAACTGGAGAATCCGCAGAAGGATCTTCTGCTGCGTTGCTTCTTGGTGGGGCCGTTGGCCTTTAAGGTCACCCCTTCTGCAGCAGAATGCTTTGCCCCCGAATGTTTTCAGGATGATCCAGGCGGGCGCAGGGGTTGGGGGACACGGTCTAGTGCGGAGAGCACAATTCCATGGCCCTCCGACCGCGTTCTTCTCATGAGCCCCCTCGCAGGAATGAGGATCCCAGGGTAGAACGGCGGCAGAGAAACGCGTTAGCAGAGGCTTAGTCTTGGGAACGTTTAGCCTCCTGGAAGCCCTGCCGTTTCGTAGGCCAGGATGGCAGCTGGTCTCCAGCCTCAGGAAGTCTCTTTCTTTCCTGCCTCCAGGCCGGCGGATATCTGGAAACCCAGAGAGCAAATGCCCGTGTCTGCCCCACGGCGGAAAAAGAGTCCCCTCAAAGGACCCACCCAGCCCCCAGATGTGTCTCTGCTGCCGTCTTTTGCACCCGGGCCCATCCCCGTGCGAGAAGACCGGCTGGAGAAGACGCCGGTGTCCCCGGAGCGCTCGAGCCCTGTGGCAGAGGCGGCCGGGCCCGCGGAGGACGGCCGGCACAGCGCCCCCGTGCCCGTTGCTCCGAGCAGCCCGGAGCGGGAAAGACCCGGCAGTGGGAGCCGGGCGGAGGCGCCCCATCCTCCCCCGCCTCCCCAGAACCCGCTGGTGGTGTGTTTTGTGGAGGATGCGGCCCTCGCCAGTCACAGCCCAGTCCTGGTCAGCAGCAGGCCAAGCCCCGTGGCGGCCTCTCTGGACGCGGCGTTCCTGGCCCTGTCCCCCACACTGGGGCTGCCCCCCACGGCGCAGGGGTTTCCCGAACCGGCTCCCGGCGGCAGCTGGAGAGGGCAAGGGTTGCTCGAAGAGGCTCCTGCACCGGCGAGCACCGGTGCCTGGGCGGATCCTGCCCCAGGGCCGGCTGGGGGCGCCTGTGGAGGGGCAGCACAGCCATCTGGGGAGGACCAGCCGGCTGTGGGGCCCTCGGCTGACCTGGCGAGCGGTGGATCGGAGGAGCCGTGGCTGACCGCCCCGGGAGGGCGTGCGGAGGGGCCCGTGGCAGGAGGAGCTCCCCCTCCGGAGTGCCCGGCTGAAGCGCAGAGGGAGCCCGCGGAAGAGGAAGAGGAAGAGGAGGCGGCCAGGCACGATGCTGCCGGGGCTGGCCCCACCGAGGGGGCCTGCCCAGGACCCCTTTCCCAGGGGGAGGAAGGTCGGCGAGAGGCTGCAGCCGGAGCGGGGTTTCCAGGGCCCAGAGGCGCTGCGTCGGGGGCTGATGCTTGCACGGAAGAGCCGCTCGCGCAGGAGCTTCGCAACGCTGCCCCCCGCCTGGCATGGGCAGAGCCGCCCCCGGCGGGGAAGGTTGCGGACGAGGGGGCAGAGGGGGGCCTGGGGGGGACGCCCGCCCCGGCTCTTTTGGAGCCCAGATCGGCCGGAAGAGAGGCCAGCCCCGCTGGGGGTGCGGAGGAGAGGAGCGGACGGCCCGTGCCCGGGAAGGCTGACGAGGGACCGCTTGGCGAGGGGCCCGTGGGGCTGCAGCAGCAGCACGGGGAAGAGCGCGGCCAGGCGCGGTCGGAAGACGCTTCGGAAGCTGGGGGAACGGAGGCCTGTGAGCCGGACTCGGAGCAGAGTGCGGAGGCGTTGGACGCGCGGCTGCCGGCGAGCGCGGCCCTCGGCCAAGAAGGGCCGGGGGCCGGTGAGGAGCTGCCAGCCGGCCCCACTTTCGCTCGCCGCGGAGATGCTGGAGCTGAGGCGGTTCCCGGTGCCGCCGAGTTCGCGTGGAGGAGCCGCGAGCCGGAAGGACTGCCCGCCGCGAGCCCCGGCGCCCCGAGCCCCCCGCCTTCTCGGGATGGTGCCCGGCCCCTCCCAGCTCCCGGTGCCTCCGAGGAGAGGCCGGCCAGTCCGTGCCAGGAGACTCCGGTGCTGAGCCCCGTCCCCTGTGGCCCGGCACTGGATCCTGCAGCACGAGGGGAGTCCCAGGTAGAGACGGTGGCGCCAAGTCCGTCCTGTCGTTGGCAAACTGGCTGCTTCCGCCCCCTCCCCTCTCTAAATGTGCCTCTAATTCCAGCCGGGTGCTTCCCGCTTGTGCATGGGGGAATGTGGGGGCTTTTTGGGGGGGTGAAGTGAGAGCAAAGGGGAGTGTGCAGAATGCTGTGTGTCCCCCCCCCCCCCAATTAATCCCTTTTAAACGACTTGGTTTTGGAATAGCCAGCTTTGGACACTTTTCAGGTGATCTGGGCATCGAATCCAGAGGTTGGAGAGGGAACGTGCAAGCGAATGTTCTAGGGGAGAAAAAGGGAAGCCGCAGTGGCCCAGCTGCACGCTTCCATGTGCTGCACAGCCGGCCTTAGGATGTGGCCCTAGTTAGCTGAGGACGCTGGTGGGCCCGTGCACACAGTGGGGTACCAGTAAGTCTCAGGGGTGCATAGCACCCTGGTTTCTTAGGGACTTGGCTCAAGGATTTAGCGCATATGCATGTACAAACACTGCTCCTACTTCGCCAAAGCCATTCCAGAAAGAATGGTTCCCTCTTTGGAAAGCAAGTTCCTAGACCTCATGATCCTGGTGGATAGTATCCCCGCCTTTCGAATCCTGCCTTGTCAGAAAATGTTCAGAACCTTATTTGAGGAACTTTAAGGGAAAAATAGATCCCCAAACATACATGACAGAAACCGTATTCCCAACTGGAGAATTTGCAGGGCGGCTCTTGCGTTCGTCCCCACGTGCACAAGGCTGCAGAGTATTCCCCGCTTCACAGGGCTGAGGTTTCATTTAGGTCAGGTGCAGCGCAAGGGTCCGATCCAGCCCTTCGGGTGTCCCAACCCGACCCTCCACCCCCTCGCACCCATCTGTACGATGTCTTCCCAGTTTCCCCCATCCCAAAATCCCCCCCACCGCCTCTCCTAAGGTTGAATTGCTGGAAATAAGAGCGTTGAACTAAGATACCTTGGGATATTCTGCCCCACCTGTGTGGCCTCCAGCTCCACCCAAAACTGGAACGTGGCCCCTGAGAGTTTCTCTGTGGTGGGATTTGGCCCTGAAAGGTTCGGGGAGCCTTCCAGCTGCGTGGCAGGTCAGGAGCAGCGTCAGAAGTTCTTTATCTCCTTGCACCCTGGGCCATGACCAGTTTCTCCTCTCCCTTTTAGGTCGACTCCCCCAGCGGCCAAACACCCACGAATTCCAGCCAGTCCTTGCTGGAATGGTGCCAGGAAGTGACCGCTGGCTATCGGGGCGTCCGCATCACCAACTTCACGACAGCTTGGCGCAACGGCCTGGCTTTCTGTGCCGTTCTGCATCACTTCCACCCGGACAAGATGTGAGTCCAGGCGTGGAGCAAGTTCGGGGCTGGGGGGGGATTCCTCTTGCAGAGAGGCTGGCGGCCGTCGAAGGAAAGAATGCCGGAAAGTCGCCGGTTCCGTCCGCAGCTCTTGCAACCAACCCAGGGTGTTCCCAAACCTTCCAGGCCTGGTGCCCGCTTTAAAATATCGAGTGTCACGGACCGGGTGCCATGTCACTTTTCAGAAAGCAGCCCGTGGAAGCTCAGAGAGTTTGGTCCCCGAAGCATTTTGGAAACAGCGACAGGGCAGGGCTGGCAGTCGGCTTTGCAACACAAAACCCTCTCAGTTCGTTTTTTAAATTAGAAACTCTTTTACAATATCGGAACGAGGAGGGGGCCAGGTCAGCCCCAAGAGAGATCGCCGTGGGTATATCAGAGTCTTAAACTCGGGTTCAGACTCGCATTCGAGACTGTGGGACAAGCCCTGTGACGACCGTGGTGGGTTGCCGCCATCCGGTGCAAAGCAGAGGAGAATTTTGCCTCTCCGGTGTTGGAGGCAGTGCCCTGCTAGACGAGGGCCAGCCAGAACATCAGCCCCACCGGATCTCCATGGGCTACGAAAGTAGCCTTCAGGGCCTGCAAAAGCCGGGTTCCTAATACATATAGAAGTGTTTGACTTGGTACCTTGGCCAAAAGCATATAGGGCTTTGGATGCCCTAAATTACATTTACATTACCTTTGTCCTGGAATGTAATTTTATGTGAGTGTTGTGCTGCATGAGACCAAGAGGGAACTTGTAACTAAGCCACAAGCACAGTGGCAGCTGCCCATTCCTGATCCGGGAATTAACTCAGGACTGGGAGCCACTGGGAATGTCTTTAATCCTCCCGTGAAGTTCTCCCCACATTTCAAAAGGTAATTTCCTCCCACACAGCGATCGCACCAGTTATCCATTGGCAACCCCCATATAAAAACTGAGATCCTATATAGATTAAGGGCAGTATATAAATATACGCATCCCACCAATTTATCGTTGTGAGCTTTCTTTGTGTAAAAAATGAATTGGACAGTAGGTGCTCATGGTAGGTCCCCGGAGTGGGAGGGCTTTGGGGGATTGGGGGAAGAAATCCAGCAAAAATGTAGAGCCCGAGGACAGATAAACCTTTGCTGGGAATGGTACTCAGGTTTGGGATCTGGGATAGATGCTGTCCAAACCCCACTGAAAGAGCTCATCTTTCCACTCCCTTCTGTCTTCAGCAATTACGAAGCCCTGGATCCGCTCAATATCAAAGAAAACAATAAACTGGTGAGTTGGTTGTTTCGGCATCGCTGGGTCAGAGGCTGCTTGTTTGCCGGAAACGTTCTGGCTTGAGACGACCCGGCACCTTTTGGGGTGGGAAGGCTGCATGTACCGTTTGCCTGGTGGCCTTTGTTTGGTCGCTCTGGCTAAGCGGCTTCCCCGGGCTGCTCTGGGGATAAATAATTTCAGTAATGTAGAGACAGGATGTGTTGGAGAAATTCCAGACCAAGAATGGGCAATTGAAAGCTTTGGGGGGGGGGGGCATGCAGCCTTCATGGGGGGGTTATCAAGCCCCCTATTTTTTAAAAAAATTTCCTTTACAGAGGTTCATTAAGGACAAACATAGCTTTGTCCTGAATTTCAGGAGTAAACATCAAATGCTTTTATTTTTTCGCCCTCTTCCTGGGGCTTGTGACCCTGGGGAGGAAATCAGTCCCTGGGGAGCCCAGAATTCAGGTGTGGGTGTAACTTTCTGAGCCTCTGTGTTTCCATCTGCGAATTGGGCAGACTTGGGCCAAAGTGGCTGCATGCTGAAGGCGAGAAGAGGTGCTGTGTAATTGCCAGAAATTGTGCTTGGGCCCTTGAAAAGCGGCAGAGAAGGGGGTCACAGGATGGTGCCAGGAAATATTTTGGTTGTGCGAAGGGGGTCACGGGGTTCGTGTTGCTCTCCCATGCTTTCTCTCTCTCCTCCTGCAATTAGGCTTTCGATGGCTTTGCCTCGCTGGGCATCTCCCGGCTGATGGATCCCAGCGACATGGTCTTCCTGGCCGTGCCCGACCGACTGATCGTCATGACGTACCTGTGCCAAATCCGGGCCTTTTTCACGGGGCAAGAGCTGAACGTGGTCCAGCTTGCTGGCCACACAAGCGAGACAACCTACAAAGTGGGCAAATTTGAAACGGATGCCTCCAGTCCCATCGATCCGGCTGTCTTTTACTCCCAGCATCTCCTGAAGGCTGCCGGGCAGGTGGAGGCACCTGGGGAGTTGGACCTTGAAGGTGCTGGGACGCCACAGGCCTCGGCCGTTGCGCTGGAGGAACGCCAGCCACCGAAGGTGGAGGACGTGACCCAGAAGCATTCTGGGGGTGAGCAAAGGGCAGACGTGGCAACGGATTCTGGGAACAACGCCGTAACGGAGCGCCGGAGGGCAAAAGCCAGCCCTACGGATGCACTGCAGCCTATGGAACTGGAGGTGACCGCTGAGGCTGCGGGAGATGCAGAAAATGCCCAGACGGAGATGGTCGACGGTGCCCCGGGCCCGCCGGTTCCAGCGCCGAAGTTTGAGCCCGCCTCTGCGGGCTCAGACACAGGAGAGGCAACGGCGATGCCCAGAAGCCCCTCAAGTTTGCCATCTCGCCCCAAGGATGCTGCGATGGAGGCCCCAAGGCCTGATGGGAAGGCTTTGGTGAATGGCGACATGGCCACTTCCTCCACGGAACGTGGGACCCAGGTGGATTCTGGGGCTGTGGCCCCAAGGACTGATGGGAAGGCAGTAACGAACGGTGCCGGGACGGATCAGGGCATGGAACCGGAGGAAGGGCTCTGTGCCCCGGGGGGCTCTGGGGTGGAAGCCCCGAAGCCAGATGAGAAGGGCTTAGCCAATGGGGCCACGGCCTCACAGAGCCCAGAACCAGCGGCTGCGGGGCATCTTGGGCCAGAAGCGGCAAAGCCCGATGGGAAGCCGTCGGCCAGTGCCGCCGAGCAGGTGGTCGCCCCTCCGCGGCTGAAGCGGCTGGCCTCCCGGAGCAGCGTGGAGCGCCCCTTGCAGCGGGTGCCGTCCACAGGGAGCCAAGCCCCCGTGGCCCCGCCACGCAGCCACGCCGCCAAGTCCTCCTTCGCCCACGTGCGGGACGCGGACCTGGTGAAGAAGCGGCGCTCCCGGCTGAAGAGCGAGTCCCTCTCCATGGACGAGGCCGACGCGGAAGACGCTGCCAAGAGGCTCGCCGCGGTGAGTGGCCCTCCATCCTGCTCTGCCGCATGCGGCACATACTGCAATGCTTTGTCGCAGCGTGCCGTGGCCTCGCATCTGTTTGCTGGCGATCTGCCCCACTGCGGCCGTTTGGGTCGGCGGCGTGGCGCTTTCCGAGCGCGCCCAGGTCCAGTTCTTTTTCCGTGGGTCTTTCCGTGGCCACAGCTCGCTCCTGCCCCCCTTCCCAGCTGCCAGTCGGTTGGTGCATTTCTGAGGTTCAATGGCGGTTTCCCCACACTGGGAATTTGAAATGCCTGCCGCTGGGGCCCTCGCTCCTTTTGCCGTGCCCACTTCTGGGACGTGGTGCCCAAAAGCTCTCTCGAAGCCCAAACGGCCCTTGGACCAGCATCCCCGGTTGAGACACAAGCTGTCGAGTTCGACATACAGATTCGAGAGCTGCGCCTCTGTTCCAGGGTACCTGGCCAAGCTTCTCTCGTGTCTTGGGGCCTGGATTCCTTCCAGCTCCTTCCCCAGCTTGTCTCCTTCATTTCACCTTCCGTGGCCAGACGGTGGTGCCGATTTTCTGTGTGTCTCGGCCAGGAAGTTTTGGGTATGGAGCCTTTTGCTCAAGCGCAGATTAACTAGGCTGGCGTCGCGTAAGCGCTTGGCTTTGCGTGTTTCTATTTTCGGCGGTCCGGATAAACTAAGCCCTGCCCACGCTCCCAGTTTATATATCCACCGGGGAGGCATGCCCAGAGCTGAGTGATGGCTCAGAAGGGACCAGGGGGAGGATGAACTGGATGATCTGGGAAGGGAAATCCGCCTCTGCCGTGGTTTCTAAACACCTGGGGAAAGTTTTTCTGCCATCCCCATTTCTCCATCTTGTCTCTGCCCTCGCTAAAAGTGCTCATGTGGGCCATGGCGGACTTCTCTGGCCAGCGCCCGGAGCAGCACAGGAAGCCTGGGTCTAGGCGCCATTTCAGTTTCCCACAATGCCGTGCGGTGATGCTATGTCAGGGCATTGTGGGAATTACATGGAGCGCTAGGCAGGTGGGCAGAAAGGGGACCTGGCTAGGCTGGATTTCTCCCGGTTGGGGTGGCCTGCTAGCCAAGTCCAGTCCTCAGCATCTCCACTTGGGACCTTTAGCGACACATATTTCTCTGCCTCTGATGCTGAGGGGCTGCTGACACGGTAATGTGTTGGTCTGCGGCTCCTGTCAGCAGCATGGGCCTGCTGGGTGGGGAAGATGGGTGCTGTAGTCCACTCCGGCAAGGACGTCTCCAGTGCCCACAGCTGCAGGACATCTTCTGGTCACAACCCTGGCTTGGAGCATGAAAGTTTTCGTGACCCAGCCTCAATGTACGGAGGGGTTTTTCCCCCCTAAAGTCAGTGCTTTAAATGGTTGGGCTTTCTTTACCGAGACCCATTGTCTTGTCGGCTTCCTCTCTCGCTCAGGACGATGTGTGTGATGAAGCCTCAAGACCCCGACAAATGACAGCAAAAGCACAACAGGGATCAGGTGAGTTTAGGCTCCTGCATAATTGCTCATGGGAGGCCGTTTCTTCCGTATCCTAGTCCAGAAAGGCCCGGGGGCAACGAGGGAGGGTCTTTTCGGGGCTGCCCCGTTGCAGAACCGTCTCCGGGCTGAGGCCGGCCTGGCACACCAGCACTGTCTCTCACCAGCATTCGTTTAAAACTGCCCTCTATTTCCACGCATTTGATGCATGACATCGGCGCTTTTGAATTAGGTCTAGTTGTTAATGAAAACCCTTTAGATGTTCGACTGTTTTATGTTTTTGTATATTGGGATGTTTGGCTGTTTTCATTTGCATCCTGGAATTCAGCATTGCTATCTTTTATTGTATCTTTTGGATCTGATGGTTGTGAATGGCTGAGAGAGCCCTGGCTATTGGACGGTATAGACATTGAAATAAGTAAATATATCAACAGCCCTTTTTTGTGGGGGGGCATCTTTCTGGGCCAGGTTCCCATCACTTTTGCCTCCCCAAAACGATCCCTGCAGTTCTGGATTCTCTCGCACGGGGTACCTCTAGACGCATCTCTCGGCGCGCAACTGTCTCTCTGTCCATCCTGATTTTTATTTTATATCTTCGGATTTTTCTAATTTCAAAAGATGTTTTTGCTGCCTTCTGATACAATCCGTATTTGGGTTCAAAAAGAAGGCCTTTGTGTCCTGGAGCTCAGGTGTCACCTCCACCTTGGACTTAAGTTCCAGGGCAGGTTCCTTTTCCCAGCCAAAAGGAGTGCTTGGCGGTTGGCCATGCCCCCTCTGGCAGCCATCTTGCGAGAGTGCCCACGAGACCCCAAAGCCCAAATATGCTCACAAACCCCAAAGCAGGTCTGCTTGACTTGAGCCTGATTTTCTCTGGCTTTTTTTCCCATCACAGCCTCTCCAGCCACGACCTCCCAGGACCTGGCTCAGGCTGTGAACCTCAAGAACACCTCAAACGAAGAGGAGGTTCCGGTACGATACCGAAAGGGCTGGGATGCGGCTTGTGGGTCCCCTGGGGTGCTCGCCATGGCCCTCGAAGGCAAAACTTGCACATTCAGGGATGAGTGGCTGTGTTTAAGTCTCTCCTCTTCGCTTCCCCTCCCCGTCAAACTGGCCTCTTTCTCCTGGTCGGGGCTCACACCTTTCTGACACAGCAGAAGGAACTGGGCTCCCAATTTTTCCACTTGTTCAAAATATTTGTATTAATTTCCAATCTAACATACAAGCAAAATACCACGCCATTTAAAATACAAATGTCAAAACTGACATACAGTCGAAATCATTATTACACTACTGTTCTTCCCATCTTCAGGACCGAGGATATGTGTCACAATTTAAAAAGCCTTCAAACATTCCAAGAAGTTCCTCCCCTTCCAAAACTGAAATGATTCTTTCGACCGCTCAAATCCTTTCCCTTTTTTACAAAAGGGATATGCTGGGAAACTTCCCCTTCTTTAATTTTTATTATGAATTTCACCAAACTAAAAATAACAAAACAAAGAGCAAGAAGAGAAACGGCCCCTAATTAGGGGACCCCTAATTGTTAATTATATGCAGATCTCCAAGTAACAGCCTCAGCCCACCCAAAATCTCTCTTGGACGGCCCAAAGATACACCAGAGAGTGCCTGGGCTGTCTGGGATTAGTGGGGTGGCAGATTCTAGTAATCTGGGAGGTTTCTGGGCAGCTCTCGAAGCTTTCCCCTTGTTTCTTGCTCCTCCTGCCTCTGCGCATGGGAAAGGTTGTAAGCTTAGAGGCAGGACACCTGCTTTCCGTGCGGAACATCGGAACATCCCAGATTTATTCCTTGACCTTTCCAGATGAAGCTTCTCACATAACAGAGCCGAGAAAGCAGCGGCCGGTCACGCCTCACTAATATCGGACCGCCATCGGTTTAACTGGGAGTCCCACACGGAGCAGGGGGTTGGATCCGAAGCCTCCTATGATGCCGTCGTACCAAATTAAGCTCCCTTTAAAGCTGACAGTGCCTCCCTTGTTAGCGCCCTACCCTGGCCTTGATTTCTTCTTGCAAGAAGCCCAAGGCTTCTTGGGCTTCCATGGACCTCCTCTTCATGGCCTCCTCTCAACAGCCCTGCGAGGTGGTCTGGCTGAGAGTTGCCGTTTGGCCGAAGTTGCCCCGTGTGCTTCAAGACCGTGTCAGGACTCGAGGCTGTCTCCCCCAAGTCCCAGCCCAGCACTCTGACCACTGCACCATACTGCCCGTCTAACTCATTGAGCCCACGGTCAAATATTTAGGCCTCTGGGGAATCTTTGGGAGGGCAGCTGTTTTTCCACACTCCCCTCCAGCCCAGAGCATCAGCTCCGAATGGCCTTTGTGCTTTCCCCGTTAGAGGTTTCAAGACACCAGCCAGTACGTCGTGGCCGAGCTCCGGGCTCTGGAGAACGAGCAGAGGCAGATCGACGGCCGGGCAGCCGTGGTGGAGAAGGAGCTGCGGGGTCTCATGGAGGCGGGTGAGAATTTGCGCGTGGGGTGGAGAATCGCGTGGGAAGAAGCCTGCGGGGTCAGACCGAGTCGGGCCGCCAGCGGGGAGCCTGCTCCATCCAGTTGCCCACCCCCCTTTTAAAGGCACCAAACTGGTGTCCATCACAACGTCTTGGAGAAGTGAACTCCATCGTTTGACTCTCCCGTTTGAAGGAGCCTTTCCGCTCCTCTCTGAATTTCCCCTCTACCTGCTTCAGGAGGCACCCTGTTGGGTTTTGACAGTTATTTTTTAATTTAACTTAATTTTGTTATTTTATTTTTTATTTTAAACCTTTCTAGACCATCCTTTACGAAAGTCTCAGGATGGTTTAACAATACAGCCCTGTAAAATAAAACACATCCTCCTAAAAAATCCAACTGACAATAAAACCCCAATTCAAACCATCGGATTGTAAAACATTGGGCAAATAAAAAGGTTTTAGCCTGGCGCCAAAAAGAATAAAGTGACGGCACCAGGCGAACCTCTCTGGGGAGAGGAAGAAAAATGCGTCCCTCTCCATTTTCTCCACACATTTTGAGCAGCTCTAGTAGGTGTCCCATTTCTTGCCTTTTTGAAAGAGCTTCCTTGTTCCGTGTGAATGCCCCCCCCATTAAGTCCCCTCACCCCAAACAGATGGGGATCGTAAAAAGCTTTCTCCGCCTGAGACCCTTGGAACTGAGTGGCGCTCAAGTGGCTAGTTCTGTCTGAGGAGGATGCCAGAGGCCCGAACTGGGGGCCTTCCCGTGTTCCTGGGGAAGGCCTGATTCCCAGGCAGCTCTTGCCAGGAGAAACGATTACCTGATCCGTCCTGAGGCAGGTTTCTTGGGATGCAGCAGGAACAAAACGTGAGAAGTAAATCAAGATGGAATGTGGCTCCGTTGGCGCTCAGTCGTTCCCCCTGTTTCGTTTCAGGCACAGACAAGCAGAAGGAGGAGGAGCTGATCCAAGAATGGTTCACCTTGGTGAATAAGAAGAACGCCTTGATCCGGCGGCAGGACCAGCTGCAGCTGCTGTGAGTCCAGAGGGCCGGTGGGGGGTGTGGGGCACAGACTCGCCTGGAGGAATGGCGAGCAGGTGATCCAGGTGTTGAAGGTGGGAACTTTCCCGGTGCCCGAAAGCCACGTCCTTCCGCATGTTAGGAAGAGCACAGAGAGAATCCCCCTGAAGCTGCTTTCCCCTAGTCTGTTCCTTAGACAAGAGCAGCTTTTGCTGTGAGAACCAGCACTCTTCTCTTTACCGACGTGGCTGTCCATACAAACGGGAAGCGAGGGACGTTAAGACGTTCCTGGCAAGAGGCACTGCTGTTTGTCCTTTGCTTTGAAAGAGACCTTAAAGTGTCTCTCCTTGGAGAGAACCTCCCCTGGCCTGTTCAAGGAGCCAAAATGGGCACAGAAAGGGAGGCGTGAGCTTTCTTTCACCTGCCTATGCCCCACACTCATGCTGTTTTCGATTGATTGTACATCCCCTTTCACACAGGGACCGGTTTCTAGGGATTCAGACAAAGCGAATGGCAGAATCGAACCACCCCGCTACTGCAGCCCCTTTCTGAGGGAATCCATATTTATATTTTTATTTATGAAACGTATATTCTGCTAAATCGGCTCAGTTGGCTATGGCTGCAGCGTTTTCTTTCCAGATCAGGGCCAGCGAATGCTGCTGTCCTTGCTATTCCAGCAGCTTGCCCGGGAGAAAGGGAAAGCTAGCTGTGTGTTTCACGGCGGAAGAAATCCATGCAGTTAAGATACCCAGGGCCTAAGGTTCCCGAGCTGCACCCTGGCTCCACAAGCCAGCAAATCATAGCAGCCTTTCCTCCTAGATGTCCTTCTCACACCGGCCTGGGAAAATTCTCCTCCTCGGAGCAAATGCCGAGGTGGCTGCCGGCGCCCGTTTTGTCCCTGTGGCCGAATGCAGCGCTCTCGCTTTCTCCTCCAGGGTGGAAGAGCAAGACCTGGAGCGGCGCTTTGAGCTCCTGAGCCGCGAGCTGAGGGCCATGATGGCGATCGAAGGTGAGGGCCAGCTCCCCCCCCCCCCCCGGGCTGTGAGGGCTGGCGATGCCCATGGCGTGACTGGCAGGGCCAGCCTGCAGGGCTGTTGTGCCTCTTCGGCACCGTCGCTGGAGCCTGTGCTGCATGCGGAGGGTGCAGGGAGGCCTGGGAAGGCAGGGAGATGGGCGGAAGGCGAAGGCACAGCCGAGCAAGTCCTGCCTTTCCTGTCGGGCCAAGGTCTGCGGGTCCACTCGCAGCAGCTCCGTTACCTGAGCTCGCATCCGCAGCAACTTCTTCAGGGCATTTTTAGCAGTGGCACCTAAGGCTAAGAAACTGGCACCTGGCAGGTGTGTTTCTTCTCTGGTAAAACTGAGCACGGTGCCTGGACCCTGTCCCAGGTGCCTTCTGGGGTGGGCGGTTAAGCTTCTTCGGCCACCAGGCCTCCTCTTGGCTTTTTACCCGTCCCTGGAATTCGGTGTTGCTTTTTCTCTGCCGCCGTTTCAGCTGCCTTGCTCCGTGTGAGGGTGGCGCGCTTTATTTTTAATGCTTTCACTGTCTTTTCAAAATCCCGCAAGTTAGCACTGTGTTTTCAGGCGGAGAGCATTAATTGATCCAGAATCCGAGCACAGAGCCGTGGGAATGGGTAAACCGAGCCACGAAATGCCTGGCTTTGGACTACATAACCCACGTGGGTCCGGGATAAACCGGGAAACGTGCTTTATGCTGTCCTTTAGCCAACTCACGCGTGCCTCGTCCACGAGGAAGTACCGTCAAGAGAACCCACGGCTCGTTGCCGGGTTGCGAACCAGGGGTTGTTCAGCGTGCTCTGTCGCCTGGATCGGACATGGGAACCACGGTTCAGGCGCAAGCCACCCTCAAGCCCGTGTCTGTTTTGCTCCGGCAACGAGCCGCCGGTTCTCTTGACGGTACTTCCTCGTGGACGAGGCCCGCGCGAGTTGGCTAAAGGACTCTTGGTCCCTCGGGC